GGCTGTGGTCTCATTGTAGGGAGTATTATACCTCTGATGATGCAGGTCAAGACAATAGGGACTGAGTTGGCAGGGTGTGCCCTCAGTACAGCCCAGAAATTGAATTTCTCGAAGCAGACTAATAAAAATAATTAACAACACCTTTACGTTGTTAAATGGAAGTGAAGTCCCTGTTTACATTTAAGAATGCTTGCGGGTAAAACCAACAAAATATTTTAGCAGAAATGCCTTTTTTTTAGATGGTGACTACATTTTCCGTAGCGTTTCTGTCTACACTGCCCAAGACGCAAAACTCTGGTCAGATCTGCTCATGTCGCGTGCACGTTTACGTCACATACATCACCACCTGTCATGCATACCTAATCGAATACCACACACTTCTGCATCACCGCATGAACACCGATTTCTTCGCTTGTCTAAACACTTAATAAAAAGTGAAGACGCAACACCACTTTTGTTCAGACCATCATCATATAATCGCAGCCTTAAAGTGCAAGAAAAAAAAGTGCATTCTTTTGTCAATTGTCCCTGCATCCCCCCCCTTTTTTTTGCACGTTTCTTTTTAACTTTTTCCCTCAAACTGCCACTTAACTTAATGTAAAACTATGACAAATATTTACCGCAGTTACTATCCCACTAAACCAAGTAATAATTATAAAAACAACAAAACATCATATTCACTTTGCTAGTTGATTACTGCTTCTATTTGGGGCTCAGGTCGCTTGTTTTGGGCTTTTTTTTCAAAGGCTCGGCCGCTTGTTTCTCCCCAAAAACCTGGCAACCCCGCCTGTGCACCGGGTTCACATGAGCGTTGAGACTGCTGCTGTGTGGGGCTGTGTTCATTCTGCGCTCAGGAGAAGGACCTCACAGGGAAAGTATGCGCGCGTCGGCCACAGCGGTTCAGACCAGTGTAACTCCAATGGAACGCAGTCTGCAATTTCAACCAGCAGCATACCGAGCCGTGTCGCCCCGAACGTCTATCAGTCAGACAGGATTTTACTGCAGAGACCACCTACAGGGACAGAGACGAGGGTGGAGAGTCTAACTGTACTCAAGTAGTCATTAGTTTGTGTTAATACTGTGATATGCAGACAAAGCAGAGTACAAAAAACGCACACACTTTGCACATGTGCACAATTATGGTGCTGTATTGTCACGTTAAAATGATATTACTTACTAGCAGTGGAATAAATGTAAGTGTCAAGTAAAGTTTTATGTGTAATGTCTCTTATTACTACAACAATAAGAAGAAAAGGGAAATTAAATGCAAGTTGCAATATTTTATAGGGATGCACAGATATGATACTGGTATTGAATATTGGCAAGATACAAAAAATTTGTGTTTGATATCAGGTATCGATAAATTTCAAGACTCGATATCGGCTCTAAAGAAGCTGGATCAGTGCATCAGTAATATTTTCAATTAGAAAATGCTAGGGATGCAACAATAACCGAAATATCGTGATATTGTATCGTCAAAAGTCTCACAATAATATCCTGGGCTGTCACAATATATCAAATTACAAGTTCCTTTGCTTAAATGCATGGTTTTATAGTGGCAACAGCTTATAAACATAGGGAACTACATATCCCAAGATTCATTTCAGTGCAAACAACATGAAGAAATATGCTTTTTACTTGAATTCTTGGGATTATGACGGAAATAATTCACACGAAAATCTTATCAAGGTATTTTAAAAGCAAAAAAGTGTCCCATCTACAATTATATTATCCTCTTCATAATATCACAATAAATATTGTAACATAGAATGCATATCGTGATAATATTGTACCGTGAGATTTGGATATTGTGACATCCCTAGAAAACGCATATTTACAAATTCAAAACTTTAAATTTATAGTCCTGCAAAACCCTGCTCAAGATGCTCTATGTAAATTTTCTTTTGCATGCCACTTGCTTGTCTCCTTGGATGTTTTTCCTGGAAAGCCATTAAATGTATCCCTCCTCTCTGGAGTCAAGCAGGTGACACTACCAGGCCAAGTTACAGGTAATATCTGAAGAGAGGTGGCCCCACTAACAGGAAGAATGCATATTTCAAGGTAATAATGAGTGCTAAAAACTGAATAAATTCAAGATAGATATGTTTAATGGCATACTGTGGAACATTCCAGGTTAAAACAATAATATCTCCATGTGTCAAGACAGGGCTGCAAGCAAAGCACACCACCAGACTGAAACTGTGAGAAGAATAGATGGGAGGTAGGTTATGTTAGTCTGTTTTTTCCTCATGACTCAATTCGAAACTTAAGCAATGATTAGCGTGTCACTTTAGCCATTTATTTATTTTAAGTTGTATGTAAATAATCTGGTGGTTTTTGCAACATAGTAAAGAAGCAATCTCTTATGCAACTTGCACTATTTTATATTAAAATGTTTTTCATAACATCCCTACAAAAGTATATTTAGAACTTGCATATTGTTTCTAAATACTGATCCCTAGCACTTAAGCATATCCAGTGCCTATGTCTATTCTCTTACTCTTCTGAAACTGTACATTGCAACATGGGAATTTCTCCATTCTGAGAAATAAAAATGTTCTCTTATTTTATCCTATCGTATGTAGTCACATTTTCCCATCTGTCTTAAGTAGGGCTGGGTATCATTCAGAAGTTGCCGATACGCTACATATCTCGATACAGTGAGCTTATGATTCGATACGATTCAATACGATTTGATACAGTTTCATAAAAAATAAAGGCTATATCTGGGCTGTGATACTAAAAGTCTTTGTTAAACCACTTCTTGAGCCAAGTTAATATGAAACACGTCTATTTTAATCATCAAAAACAGTGAAAATGTCTCTTTCCATGGAGTCAAGCAGGTGACGCTACCAGGCCAAGTTACAGGTGATATCTGTGCAGAGGTGGCCCCACTAACAAGAAGAATGCATGTTTTTCAATGTATTAATAAGTGCTAAAAACTGAATAAATTCAAGATAGATATGTTTAATGGCATATTGTGGAACATTCAGGTTAAAGCAATAACATCTCCAGGGAAACAAACAGGTGGTACCTCCTCCACCAGAAACGCTACACAGTGCACTGCCGCCTTTAATTTCTAATATGCATGTAACAAGACCACAGATGATTTACTTTGAAATACTTTGAAATGATGATATAGTAATTTAAACCAATGACTAATTCTGCCTTCCCACTGCTAAAAGTATACCCCTCAACAGCCAATTAAAACCCACTTATTTCTGGGCTTGGATGGAAACTGCTCACGCTGCCTGCCACTGTCTGGAGCGGGGAAGACGGTTGGAAGCAAATCAAAGCAGGAAGGGGGCGGCTCGAGGCAGGAATCCCAGGCATGTGCAGCCGTGGCGGGGCGGTTTGGTTCGGAGGCAGGGGGACATCCACCACGAGGGGCTGCCATAGACTCGTGTTTGTGAAGCAGAGGTTGACATACCACTAAAGAGCAAACAACAAGGTGCAAGGAATGTGAGACTTGCACAAAACAAATAGGAAGAGACAGACCACGAGACAACAGCGCTCAGCAGACAGTAGCGTTCTAATGGGCCAACCCAAAAAGCACGTGTCCAGAGTAGAGCAATGTTCCACAATTAGGCTTTAAACAGACAATACTGCTTGGACAAGTTACATATCAGATGCACATTTTTCAAGGTGATTCAATAGTTGCAAGAGAGATGAGTTACATTACAAGCAAAGCAAGTAAAAACATCTCCAAGGAAAAGATGCATATTGCTGGTTTATGTTTCTCTTGCATATTTTACAAGAAATAATGATTAAAATTAATTAATTAAGACATGCATAAACTATTAACATGGTTTTAGGGATCTGGCAACAGCACGAGTCTAAAAATTTGCTTTAATAAATGCAACAGTGCCGGCTTAGCAAAGCAGTTTCACCATGCACTTAGTGAGCAAAAACACCCCTTGTGGCTGGAATAATTATAGTTTGTTCATCTGTTCAGGGGTGCCCAAACTTCTTTCCTTGGTGCGCCAATATTTAATTAGCATGCCAAAAAAAGAAAAAAGAAAATATGCATCACATTTAAAAAGCTTGTTTGCAAAGATATTTAGTTGTGTTTTTAGAACAACAACCTTTGCAAAAATGGACAGACCTTAGGCGCAAAGTTTAGGCCCTGTACCTGAGTTCTTGTGTTCAAGCAAAGTTTGTTTTGGCTTAAATCCAAATAGACACTCACTTTATTCACATGCAGGCCAAAATCTTATTATAATCTGATTTCTGGACTTTTGAGATTACTTAAATGAAATGTAAACTACAAAATCTCATGTGAATAACCAAAGGAAGCATGATCTAATTAGAAGATCTGGCTTTTTTTGTGTCATATAAGTAATCTTTTAACACCCATAATTTGATATTAATCACAGTTTGAATGTGCATGTAACCACAGCCAGTGTTCAGGAATCAGAGCATCAAATCAGACCCCCTGCAGGGCAAAGTTTAGTTAACCGAAAATATGTACAGACACAATGGACTCTTGCAATGTCTATGCAAAAAGCCACAATCCAATCCAGGAATCAAGCCCAGCAACTTCTTGTTTGTCAGGCAGAACACTAACCACTATGTCTCCAAGTAAAAAAAAGATAACTGCATGAAGAAGTCAAATGCAACGTACATCTTCTAAAATCAAGTCACTCTTATTACCTAAAAATTCTATGCAGAAAGGCCCTATCCAGTCTGGGAATCAAACCAAGAACCTTTTTGTTGTGAGGCAGAACAGTAACTTTACCAATGTGTAAATGAAAGAAAATTGCATAAAAAGTTAAAAGCAATGCACAAAACATAAAAACTGAAAAGCATGCAGAACATTGTTTATGCCACTAATAAACAACAATTATCCTCATGCTTATGCACAAAAAATCTGCAGGGATATTTTGAGTCATGTAGGTCAACTGTATATCCATTCTAATTGCATGTTTTGATTTTTATGCATGACCAGACTGCAGCCGGCGATGGCAAGATATTCTGTGATCAGACACAGGTAGTCTCACCCGTCTGTCTCTGCTGGTGTGAGAATCGCCGTGGAAACCGGATCTGCTCTGACCCAGTTGTGAGCGGCCGATAAAATGTCAAAGGGAGGCGACGGAGGGAGTGATAATTGCTCCTCATTCCCCGGTAATAAGTCACCCACTGATGCTTTGTGTCGAGACAGGGCTGCAAGCAAAGCACACCACCAGACTGAAACTGTGAGAAGAATAGATGGGAGTTAGATTATGTTAGTCTGTTTTTTCCTCATGACTCAATTCGAAACTTAAGCAATGATTAGCGTGTCACTTTAGTCATTTATTTATTTTAAGTTGTATGTAAATAATCTGGTGGTTTTTGCAACAAAGTAAAGAAGCAATCTCTTATGCAACTTGCACCATTTTATATTAAAATGTTTTTCATAACATCCCTACAAAAGTATATTTAGAAATTGCACATTCTTTCTAAACACTGAAGCCTAGAGCTAAGCATATTGAGTGCCTATGTCTTTTCTCTTGCTGTTCTTAAACTGTGCGTTTCTTCATTCTGAGACAAATAAGCATGTTCTTGTGTTTTATCCTCTTATGTAGTCACACTTTCCCATCTGTCTCAAATAGGGCTAGGTATCATTCAGAAGTTGGCGGTACAATACATAGACCACGATACAATACATATCTCGATACAGTGAGCTTTTTGAGATATTTCAATTTGATTTGAAAAAATAATGGCTAAATCATGGCTGTGATTTTGTTAAACCACTTCTTGTGCCAAGTGAATATAAAACACACCCATTTTAATCCTCAAAACAATGAAAATGTTAAAAGTTTCCTTCCTCTAAACAAGGAACAAAACTGTAGCGCTGTAACAAAATAATTTAGTAAAATATACCAAAAAATACTCTTGGTGATACATCGATACAGCAGCCCGTGATATTGGTACTGTATAAACACATTAAACGATACGATATATCAATATTTCAATGTTTTTGCACACCCCTAACCTCAAATACAATCAGCTGTAATCAGTTTCAGTCGTGAATATTTGCAACTACTTTTCGACGGAGCCCACTTGTATTACTCTTCCAGGATTAGTCCACAAAATGGCATAAACTTGTTGCATGGTGCCAGGTCCGGCTGCAAGACAGATCTATGGAGAGGTGTCCAATCTTATTGTAAAAATACAGAATTTAAATAAAGAAGACACCTGTGCAACAAGCGCAATCAGAGATAGCAACCTGGACCCCCATGAGGCATCGGTGGGAGCAGTTCATCACCACGGATGCCAGCTTACGAGGAGCCCAGCCCATATTACATGATCGTTATATCCACAATACAATATGTGTATCTGTACAGTGCCCATGAACATTTCTGTGATATTGGTCACACATGAGAATGTCTGTGTTTACTAGCATGTAACGAAAATGTGATTTTTCATGAGTTGTTAGTTCTGTAACTAACTGTGTGTTGTGTTGTGTTCTGTGTCTTGTGTATCACCAGAAAAAGAAGAAATGGAAATTATTTTCATTCCAATTATAATTTTAACAGCATACACTGAAAGAGAAAGGAGCTGTTATAATTAGTTTTCTGAGATTTTGAGACCACTCCCGTTGCTCTAGCTCGATCCTTTGTGGAGTTGTGCCCAAAAACGCATATTTGACCTTGGTGACATTAACCTTCAAGTGACCTTGACCGGTTTCAACCTGTAAAATCCAGTGTACCCCGGTTATGTGTGTGCCAACTTGTGTGATGTTTGGGTGAATATTTTAGCCCGTAGATGGGTCAAAAATTGCCGAAATTGCCTATCCTTTATAAAGGCATGACCTTTCAATTGACCTGTGTGACCTCAAATGACCTCGGATTGTCACCAAACTTTTTTGTGGCATCGGGCACGGGGGCTTTACCCACATACCAAATATCATGACATAAATGGCAGAATTATTGCAGGTGGACACACACACACACTTTAAGTAATACAGCATTTTCTTTGAGGTCCTGTTAACTGAAACTGATGTAATACTTTCTACGGAGGTGCAAGTGAACAAAACCACTGCCAATTTTAGTTAGGGCTGACAATTTGGGAAAACACCTGTTATTTATTTGACATTATAATTTGACATTTGACTTTTATTTTTATTTTTTTTTAAACAAAGGATATAACGTTACTCTTATAATTGCGGTCTTTGTGAATAGATAATTACTGCCATTCATACTGGACTTTCAATTTGAGCGCTACAAACTTTTCAACCTTATTATATAATTTTATATTATATAATCCTTAAACGGGCTTCAGAAACAGAACCGGGATCTCCCATTGTTCACGCCAATAATGAGGAAATGTGTATCTATATACCAACTCCTACATAGACAAACATCCACACGCCCTCACTGTCCAAATGAATAATGCCCAGTGACAGTAAATAACTGGAACTTGTTCAAGAATCAGCCTTAACAAGAAGAGGAGAGAGCAGGGTTGCAAAATTGGCAGGGCAGGTAGTATGATACTGAGATAAAAATGGAATATATACAGGACTGTAGGTGAAGTAAACTTTCAAAACAATAAAACAATGTTAAAAATTGTGTTATAATGGTAGTCCCTCACAAAAAAATGACTCCTTGATGCTTTGAGCTATATTAAAATGTTGTTAACTTATCGAAAACATACCTTGAGTTGCGTTTTGTTTCATTTGCACGTTTGAGTAACTCTTTATTATTAGTCTGGCTACATCTCCAAAGCTATTCATATTACAGTTTCGATTTGCTACAAACTTTTCAACCTGAATCATTTTAGCCCTGAGGAAACATGTGGGTGTGCAGCTGGTCTGTAAGCATTGGCTGTATAGCATTTAGACCCAACCCCTTATCCTCTGCTTCCTGTGAGGACCGTGCACAGAAATATGGAAATCCTTACATTTATTTAGACTCCAAACAGCCGGTAGAGGGTGACTTCAGAGGCAGGATGTTTCACACGAGAAATGAAGCCATGCACTTAACAAAGAAAACAACTATGGTATTTTTCTTGTGAGAAAGATACGCGTATAAAAAAGAAGTGTAGAAAAGCTGTAGGTGTCAAGACAACAATGTGAAGTGAACAAACACATGCTTTAGATCAGGGCTGCAGGAAATGCACATTGGACACTTATGGACAGATGTGGGCGCATTTAATAAGAATGAGACTTTCCCGGAAACTTTGACTGCCAAGAGAGTTCTTCTGAAGCAACACTGGTTTTCACTTGTTTACAATGCATCACTGATTAGCTTTAGGGAGTGTGCACAGTTACAAAAAGACATTTCATTACAGTATTTGATGATAATGCAATCTAATAAAAAGTATAAAGCTTTTTCGAACACTATGTCCTCAATCATCAATGATGGTAATGGAATGGTGAAGTGTTTCGCCAAATGACACAGCACAATGGCATCTAAAGCAGAGACAGCAGTGAACCCATATTAAGTTGTAATGTATAATTTGTCGGGGTATAATTTTGAAGTCTAGATATGTAATTGATTTTTTTGCATAATATTCAACATTCATTAACACTTATATAAAGGCACCAAAAAAAGAACTGTTCAAGTATCAGTAAACAGTAAACAGGCATCGTTACAGTACTGGTATCGAAATAAATTAAGCAGTGCCCCGCCTATACTTGACTCATCTTTCCATGCCACTGCACAAGCTGTTGGGTTAGTCTAAGGCAGGGAGGATGCTTATTGGAACATGCAAAGCAAAGATTATAGATTGACCAAGGCAGAACTGTATATTGTTTGACCACTACAACTTAAAGTACATAAAAAGACAAAACATTTGTTACTGAGGTTATGATGGTGGAGGTTCTCTTAAATTGAAAGGTGAAAAGTAGCCCGATTCATCACCGTCTGACCTCGCAGCATTAGGATTCGTTCGCTCAATGGTAGGCAGGTACTTTTTTTTAACCAATATTAAACCAATTGCTGCTATTTGGTCGTGACATATGTGATGCACCAAATCCCAGAAGGAAGGCAATGACGTCTTTCCCCTTGATAAAATTCACCAAACATTCTCTTTGTTCCGGCTTTAAGTCCTTGATCTCGGGATTCTTTGCCAACACAGAATGTATGTCTTCCTCTACATCCATCTCAATCACTTTGTTTACTGTTGTGTTGTACCACAAAAGGGACCCAGACAGGAGCTTGAGTTTGATGTCATGGCTTCACAGCTCTTCGCTGATTGGCCGGTGCACGGTCTACAACTTCCGGGATTCTTGAATTTAGTGTATTCTGATTCCTGACCAAGTTGCTGGAGAGAAATTAAATTGAGCGGGGGCACTAGGTGGTGCCAGCCTGGCTTGGTGAAAAGTACAGCTTGTTGTAATTTGGGCAAGTTCATCAGGAAATTTGAGGACATTTGCTCCCGGGGCCATAGTTTAGACATGTCTACATGTGCAGGTTTTGATTTCTGGTCCAATTTTTACACAGTGCATTTCCACCTTCAATGCACTTAAATAGCTTTATATCAAGGAATCACTCACCCATTCACACACACATTCACACACCAGTGTACACAGACACTGGGGAAGAGGTGGGTAAAGTGTCTTGCCCAAGGACACAACAACAGCATTCATTTGTGGGAGCTGGAATCGCACAGCCAGTCTGAGGATTAGTGGATGTGGCTGCTCAAGATTACTCATGATTATGTCAAGAGAGGGATTTGAACTGCAAGCCTTCGAGTCTTGGAAAAACACTGCACCAGGTGTGAATAAACTCATCCAGAAATTGGGAGAACATGCAAACTCAACACAAAAATCCCTACCTGCTCTGGGAAGATTCATGCCAGTGATGCTAGTGCAAGTCATCAAGGTTTTATTCCTGCAGTATTTGCCCTTTGAGTCTAAATGACTCACGTGAAGGTGCATGGACTTTACAAACACAGTGGAGCACTTCCTGTTGGTTGGTATTTCCTTATTTCATTAAAATTATAATATAATAAATAAATTATAAATATCTGTAGTTGTTTTAGGACACTCAAAAATGATTTAAAATAACACTAGGGGCAGTACCTCTCAGTGGTGCAGTTTTAAACAGGACCTATTTCTATTACTTTTTTTTATTTTTTTATCAGTATTGGTGGAAAAAAGAAGTATGCTAATCAATTTAAGAAAAATATCTGATTGCTTTTTTTCTGCGATGTGTGTTTTAATAAAAGGATG